GAATTCATTTATTTAATAATTTGATACTATCTGAGGCATTTAAGATAATTTCACGTGGAATGTTCTTTTTCAACTTTCAGCCTTAGTAATTCTTGAAGATCAGATGATCATTATCTGAATTTAGAATATTTTGCCACATTGTTAGTTTTTAGCCAAGATATGTGGAGGTGATTTTCATTTTCTTTTCTTCTTCTTCTTCTTTTTTTTTGGTGGTGGTGGTTGACTTCTGTATTTTTCTGGAATTCCCAATTACCACCCACAAGTAAAAACTGCTTTCAGTAGGAAATATCTTAATGCAGAAAATACTTCAAGATTGTATTCTCAACAAACTCTACCATTTATTTGGCTTCTGGGGGCATAAATACAGTTGGTAGCACAGAAAAGCACTGTGTCTGAGCACAGAAATGGATCCGATTATTTTTCAGTATTTATTCTCGTAGCAGACACTGCAAGGTGCCATGTGACCCCTTTCAGTAAAGGATTTTTGCTATTCCAGTTTTGATGGTGTTGTCCACAGTTCAGAACTTTTCTGGAATGTCGCACTCAGGTCTTCCTGTAGCCAGCTATTGTGACTGATGAGTATGAAGCTTTGAACCTGGTCATTTGGGGCCAATAGAGGACAACTCGAAAGGATGATTTACACTCTGGAACCCTGTATGGGATTACCTGAGTCTTGTATAGTGTTCTCTCCCTGTTCCACCACCTCCCTCTATCCCTTCATTTGTACAAATGATGGCTAAAGTTTCTCCACACACCAAACTCCATCTCTGAGTTTCTTTTCCACAGTACCCAAGGATGGCAATCTTCAAGTTTTCCTGAAATGAGGCATGGAGTCTCTTATCTATCAGTTTCTTTATACTCTTTGTATTAAGCTCCTCAGCAATTCAGAAGATTCATTATTACTCTTTTAAATAACATGTGGTCTGGCTAGGACACCCACACTCTCCATTAGGTAATCAGTTGTAATTTTTTTTTTTTTGAGACAAGGTCTCTCTATGTAATCCTGGGTATCCTGGCACTTGCTATGTAGACCAGGCTGGCTTCAAACTTAGGGAGATTTATTTGCCTCTGCCTGCCTCTGCTTCCTGAATTCTGGAATTAAAGGCATGCATCACCATGCCCAACTATGTAATGTTTAATAAATTTATAGATGACATTAATTAAGGGTGCAAGTGCATAGCTTATGTTGTGTTCAAAATCTCAAAGTAAAGCTCTTAACCGAATTTATCAAATATAATTTTGAAAGCATTAATAATTGGTTTCACAAAATTGTCTGTAGTGGGCAGCAGAGAGCAGTATTATTAATAAAAACTAGATTAGAGCAGATGGTTTATTTATTAAATAATCACACACAAAACGACAACAAACCTCAATGTAATAATAAGTGTGTGAAATTGAAAGAGAAAATAAATGACAGATGAATACTTATTGGAAGATATATTGAAGACAAGACAGAGCATTAGAAAGGGTTTAGAAAATGAAAGTCTAACTAACCAAGTACCCAACTATGAAGGTAGGTTTCCTGGGTCTTATTCCTGCTTCCATCATGTGTCACATGTGTGTCTTTGGGAAATTTACCTAGTCCTTTTGGCTAAGAAGGGGGAATGTAAAACGGGAATAATAAAGATACTATTCTGCATAGGGTTGTAGAGAGAATTAAATAGAGTAATATTTGTGAAGTGTTTAGGACTCTGCTTTGGGTGTTAAGTGTCGGGCTTAGTAAGTGTTATTTACCATGAATGTGACCAGTGAGATTTAGAATTGATTCTTAGCAACAAATAAAAGGCCACTAATGTTTCTTTATCCGTACAAAGTATGCTAACACACTAACCACTGAACATGTGTATCACTTGTTTGACATTGTATGTACTTTGCTTTCAAACACCCATGTCTAATTTTTTGTACAATTGGTAAAATTATAACAAAATGGTTGGCTCTTACATGATACATATGGTGGTTTTTATGTTGATGACATAGAGTAAGTAGAAGTGAAAATTTTCAAGGTAAATATCAACATAATGATAGGATGTGAAAGCAGAAACCTGCAGTTGACTGGCTGCATCCCCTTTTTCAGTGCTAGGGACTGAGCATGCTGGGCAAGCACTCAACCACTGAACTACACCCCAGCCCTTTGAGACTGAGAAATGCTCCTGAGCAGACGATGTTTAGATGTTTACTTGAATAGCCTTTGTAGACAGATACGTAATTTGGAGTAAGTCTAAGTTACTAGTTTGCAGTTGTCATGGCTTAAAGGGGCTCTAACTTACTGAAGCTTGCTAAGCCTTTGGCTTTTGGCTACCACACGATTGATCTATGCCATCCCACCCTGCTTCGGTTTGTTTTAAATCTCCATCACACTATTCTGGTTTTGGTTTTTGTTTTCTTTCTTCCTCAAATTCCCTGATTCGTAATAGATAACAGTAAAAGACAGTTGGAGGGTCTGTGTTTCTGCTTGAGCAATTTCTTTCTCTTGATCCTTTCTCATTCTTCTGCTCTGTCTCCTGAGGTCTGGTACCAAAAAGTACATGCAGGAAGAAACTAGGGCCTTGAGGTTTTCCAGAGAGAAGCCTGTACAAGATGCACACACACTTCTCTTATTATGGTGACTCTCACGGCACAGTGGATGATGATAAACTCTTGGAGGCTTAAATGCTTGTTCTTAAGAGGAGAAGGTGGGAGCTGAGAAAGCTGGGGTGTGGGGCGTGAGGGTAGAAGATGGGAGTGTTGAGAGAAAAAGCACACTCTTTCCACTCTTTGGTGAATTCTATGGTGTTGAAGTCATTGAATCGCCTCTCACACAGCTGGTTAAAGCTTGTGGTTTGTTCTCAGTTGAGAGCACAGGGAGCCTATCTGTGAAAAATCACACCTGAAGTCTCAGACTGGGGCGTGGGAGCCGAGTCTGAAGAACTCAGAGGCGGCAATTGTGAAATGCTGTGCTCAGCCCAGCAACCAGGTCTCCCTGAAACTTTGCAGGTCCCTTGAGCTTAGTTTTGATATTAGCATCAAGCAGGCATTAAAATAAATGACTAGTAACTTTTTTTTTTTCAGGCTGGAAATGTGGCTCAGTTGATGGTATGCTTGCCTAGCATGCAAGAAGCCAGGGGTTCAATTGCCAGTAGTGCTTAAACCAGGTGTGCTGACACAGGTCACAGTATAATCTGAGTACTGGGGAGGGGGAGACAGGAGGGTGAGAAGTTCAAGGTTATTCTCAGATGCACAGAAAGTCTGAGTCCAGGCCATCTCAAAAATGAAGGATAAAGAGAATAAAAATAAAGAAAAGCAAAATTAAACAATGTGTCCGGTCCCCCTCGTGCGCGCGAGCGTGTGTGTGCATGTGTGTGCGTGTGTGCGTGTGTGTGTGTGTGTGTGTGTGTGTGTGTGTGTGTGTGTGTGTGTACATGCCATGGTGCATTTGTGAAGGTCAAAGGATAGCTGTGGACTTGGCTTTGTTCTCTCCCTCTCCCTTTACGTAGATTTTGGGGAGTATAATCAGGTCTTCAGGCTTGCTGGCAAACACCTTTATCCACTAGGCCATTTTGTTCCCCTCATCATCAAGCGTTTTTGATGACACGAAAAAAAAAGCTCATGTCATTATAACATCAAGTGGAAAAAAGAATACAGACATGACTAAGAAAATTAGCCAACATCATTGACATTTGCCTGGCAGAGAATTTAAGCCCTGGTTCTGTCTGTCACCAGAACCTACAGTGTTAACAGCTTCGTGTGATGGAAAAACAGTATCACGATTTAAATGACGTTTCTTTGATTTTTTTTTTTTTTTCAGATATCTGGTGCATCACCGACAGAAGGGAGGACAGCCACTGTCCACTCATTGTCACAGCCCACATCTTCAAGCCTTTCTCGTTCTTAAGGATCTTATCTCATTATCTGAATCAGATTGATTCACTGAGAAAGCTTGAGAGGGGGAGGGGAAATACACAGTTTAATGTTTAGTAAGCGGGAAGACGGAACTGCCAACTTTGAAAAAAAAAATGCGTGCTGTTTTTATCTTTTTTCCTGTTTGCAATATTTTCTTCCCCTTCCTGGAGCATTTGCCCTGGGGTAGGAAATTCTTACCACAGAGTTGTTGTTTTTTTCTTCCTCTCAGCTATAATTTATGTGCATATGAACTAGTAACATTACATAGAAGTTTTCTGGAAAGTCAGAATCTCAGATGTGTGACAACTGAAAGAACCTAACTCTTCAAAAGTCAGAGAGAGTGAGTGGAAATTCAGTATTGAACCTCTAACAGAGGTCCGTGACTGAATGTCCACTGGTCTGGCAAGATGGACTCTGTGGATGTAATTCAATGAAGGGTCTATCAGATGGAGAGATAATGACCAGGACCAGATCGATCACAAAGGATCCTTCTAAGAGAGAGGCGGAGGGGTCATGGTCAGGGAATCAGGTATGACAACAGAGCAAAGGCCAGCACGAGGTGTCCACAGACCAGAGAGCAGGGGCACCTTCGAGGTGCTGGGAAAGGTTGAGCCTCCAGAAGCAAAGCCCTGCCTGGCCATGCCTTGCCCACACAATGCCATTTAACCCCATACAATGTCATTCAGCCTCTGCCTCACAGGCACTGCATTTGTGTTGTGTTAAAGCCACTAATTTTGGGATTGTTAGAGGAGTAACAGAAAAGTGATACACTTATGATGCTCCTAACATTGTTTGGGCTTCCACACCAGGTAGTAATTTCACCAAAGCATTTCCAAGGAGAAACATTTATTCTACCTTTAAAGACTGAAGAAGGCTATACATTCCCCCCCAACCCCCCAAATTGGAGAACTTTCCAGAACTTAATTGTGATTGGGAAATTTACAAGCATAGACCCCCCGCCCCCTAGGTAAAAATCCCACTTCTGTTTTGAATGGACAAATCCATCTGTCTTAGGCACGTTCAGAACCTTACTGTACAGTTTATCTGTGGGCAGCAGGAGAGGAGAACCAATGAGCTGGAAGCAGCTAAGTCGCTCAATCTGCTTCCTCTGCAAAGCTTCAGGGCATTGCACAGGAAATCTACTGCTGTGTCAAGTCCCAGAGAAGTTTCTTCTCTTCCAAGTTACTAATCAGACTAAGGAAGGGGCAGAGAGGAAAGGAGTGCTTGCTGCTGATGGGTTAAGAGGTGCTACCACGCAGAAGCCAGCGGGAGAGAGGAGGGAGCCTGGCCATGGTCACTGTTGCTCCCCTACCTGTGAGGAGAAAACGTACCGAGTGAGCGGCAGACGCCAGAAACCAGAAATGTCCTGCCTTTGGAGAACTTCTGACCTAGCGGTACTCTTGATATGGGGGGTCTTTGTGGCTGGTGAGTCTGAATTTTCCTCGGGAGAATGACTAGGGATGAGAGAGAGACCTGCTCTGTGCTGCTTTTGAGCCTTGTCCTTTTCGCCAGGCAAATGCAAGCAAGCCAGTTGCTGCTGTAGAGATGGGGTGGTGGTGGGGGTCCTCCAGATGTGAGTTATCTCATCACCCCTACTTTCTGCGTTGTCTTATTTATTTTGCTTTGTGTCCCACAATATAAGCGTTTCTATAATTTCCTCCACTGCTGTGTCCTCGTCTTCCCCTCCCTTTTAGGGCAAAGCAGAATAAATTAAAGGCATATTCATAGCAATCCAAGTGACATCGGTTCTCTGTATTTTCTCCCTCTTCGAAAAAAAAATTTAAATGATTGACTTTTTCCATAACCCATCTAGGTCTCCCTTGCCAACGGTGTAAGTTAGGAATATTTGTTTCTTTCTCTCACTTTCTGTGACTGTGGGCTTCATGCATACAGTTACGCTGGCATGTCTGTGATGTATGTCTGTATTTATCTTGAAGATGTGTGGGCTACAGGAGACACTTTCTGAATCAGAAGGTGCACTCCTCAATGTCTACGTTCCTGTAGGAGTTGAATAGAATTTGGGGCTACTGTGGGGGTGTCCTGGTTTCACTATAGAAAGGAGGTGGGAGTTGATGTGGGAGGCATTTTCATGTTTCACTTTTAGTCGATGGAGAAGCTGCAGGGAGCAACGGACTTAGCTCTAAATTTTAGAGTTGAACGATTTAAAGGAGAAATGGTGTTTTTTCCCCTCTCATCAGACTTTCTTTAAAATCATTTTTGTCTATCGCCGAGAAAAAAGACTATCTCATGATAACCTTGTTGGTGAGCACACGTAAAATAACTATGGTCTACCCCTGCACTTCTCTGCTGAGAATTTTCAAGTATCTTTTCTCTTTGATGTGCATAGCAACCCAGTGAGGTAGGCATGGAAAGACGGCTCCATTTTACAAAGCTAGACCTTGAAGCTCAGAGAGGTGAAATGATTTGTCCATGGTGATAAGGAGCATCACAGAACACTTGCGTGAGCAGTTCACCCGTACCGTTTTCACTAAAGAGAACCGCCCATTGTAACGCTGCTGAAAAAATGCTAAGCTAATATTGGGCTATAGATTGAATGGGAAAAGAACAAGATAGATCTGCATCTTTCAGGAGCTGGGCTTCTCTGGAAAGCTCCTGAAATGTGTGAAGGATGAGTTTGACAGGGGAAGCCAGGCAGGCAAGGAGCTGTTTGTGTCAGGTTGCCTTATGAAGCAGACAGAAAAGCAACAAAGTGGGAATGTAACAGATACTTTGAATTTTAAAGGCTGAAGGGTGAGTTTTTAAAACTGCGTCTGAACACACGTTGGAGATGCTACGTTCATCAAGTCTCCGCAGTCCAGGCTTGTATCATAAAATCATCAAGTGTTTCGAAGGCAAACAAGCAAATTGCTTTATACTCATGATCTGGCATGATAAGGTCACCGAGAAGTCATTTAGAATGGTGAGCTGAAAGCCAACCAGGCTGCAACTTTATGGCTTTGGTACTGGTGTCCCAGACAGGAGTAGCTGGCTCGCTCTATGTAAGATCGGTTCACACAGGAGAGGGGGAGGGTGTCAGGGTAAAGGATAGGATATGTTTCTTTTGCCTATTTACTTTTAAAATGTACTTTAAGCTGTAAACCATGTGGTATTTATCTAATAACAATGCTTGAGGGGGAAGTTAAAAAGAATGGAATAAACTCTCCGCCTCATGCGTGGCTGCCTGTCCTCCACTCTCACAGACCATACAGACCATGCCATTTCTTTCTACTTACTTTTGCTCCATTGTCTTCTAGGTTTTCTCATGTTCAAATTATGGTTTCATTCCACCTTTCATTGAAGTTACTGGTTTTGTCAATGTGAGTTGAAAAAAAAAAAAAAAAAAAAAAAAAAAAAAAAAAAAGGAACCTACCCCTGCAGTGTTTTCTTCCTTTTCATATTTTTTGCTCATTTTCCTTATCTTCCACTAGGGGGCAGGTAGTAACCGGAGGAGATTAAAAGCAACTTCAAAAAAGCAATGAATTGTCCTTACTAACTTCAGCTTTATCTTCCTTTTTTAAATTTTGTGCCAGCTGTAAATTTGCCTATTAGCTTAATATATATGTGTGTTTTTCTCTGCATGTTCATGCTTAATATTCTGGTAAATAAAAATGCTAAGAGCTCTCTCTCTCTCTCTCTCTCTCTCTCTCTCTCTCGTGCATGTGTGGTATGTATAAGAATACTGGCTAAAAGTTTCCAGCAATCTAAATGAGGGAGATGAAAATAAAATTAAATCCTCAAGGAATATTTAAAAATCAGAAAATATGCCAGGTGGTGGTGACACACACCTTTAATCCCAGCACTCGGAAGGCAGAGCCAGGCAGATCTCTGTGAGTTTGAGGCCAGCCTGGTCTACAAAGCAAGATTCAGGA